GGTAAACCGGAAGTACGGTAGGAACGGTTAGGTCGGGGTGGGAGGCCGTCGGTTCCGTGTCGTGAGGCGTGTGGAAGTGGAGGAAGGCTGCGTGCCGAGGTGGGGGGGGCTGGCTCTGGATTCCCCTGGGGGCAGCTAGGCAGGCCTGGGAGGCTGGACTGCTGAGTGTTGGGGGATGGCTCCTGAACAGACAGGGGCAGAGATCCAGAATGACTGGGCGTGGAATCTGGCCACAGAATCCAAGGAAGTGCGTCGGGGTGGGAGGCTTGGAAAAGGATCCAGGGGTGGTACTTCCAGGGGGATCCTCAATGGTGAGGGATCCCCTGGGAAGGAAAGGGATCTGCTAAGGGATCCTTTGGGAGGCATCTGAGATCCGATGGGATCCAGAGCAGGGTTCTGACAGGAAATCTCAGGAAATTGTATGCTTGGCTCCTTATTAACTTGCTTCAGGGAGCAAAAAAATTCCTGTTTTTCATTGATTGTCTGAATGAGCCTGGGGCTTCAAGAAGAAGCAGGTGTAACTCCCCAAGCACAGCTCCCTACATCCACAGCCCCAGGCACAGGCCACACTCAGCTCACCCCCCCCCACATCCACTTGTCTCCATATGAGCTCACACTTGCACACTGGGGCCTGCACAGTCACCAGAGCTCCGAAATCTGCTGGGCTTGCACACCCTTGCACCAGTCTGTGTGCTTGCTTGTGCTCTCACTGCACCCCTGTGCACAGCCCCAGGGAGGGTGTGTGCACACTCACAGCCTTGTGCATTCTTATGCACACACTTTCTTGCACATTTCTGCTTGCTCAGTTTCCCCATGTCATTTGAAATGTCTCTACTTGTTTTCTTTTCCACTTGCTCTTCCTCTTCCCCCTTTTTTCCTTTAACAAGGAAATTGTTTTAATATAATTCCTTCCACCCTTGTCCCCCTTGCAACTCCTGACCTCCCCTCTTGTCGGCCTTGTGCACATGTTGAGGGTGGGTGTGGTGTCCAGGGCTTTGAAGAGAGGAGGCTGGATCTGGGTGCTGGTGGAGCAGTTGCAGGGTAGGGCGTTGCAGTAAGAGTAGACTGGCAACTTTTCTTGGGAATTATACTGGTATGCCACAGAATGCTGGCTTTGGCTGTCTGTGCACCCTCCACCTTATCCCATCAGTCGTAACTGGGAGTCCAGGATTGAGAGCCCTCAATGGAGGTGGGGGGGAATCCCCTTCTACAGAGGCTGTGACACACACTACAGTCCCTCCACTTTACAGTTTGAGACTTTGAGGAGATTCCCTCCTCCCTGAAAGTCTCAGTTTCACCCCCTGTAAAATGGGAGAGGTAATCCAATCCTGGCCAGGTCCCAAGGGTGTTGTGAAAATCTAAGGGAACTGTGTGGCAGTGTATCAGCAGGAGTGGCGGTTGCTTCCCGTGTGACTGACACTGCTGTGCTTGGGCCAAGCTTGCAGCCAGGGCCCTGCCCTTGAGAAGCTCATGGTCCCTGGGGGAGCATATTGCATCATGGGAATGCAGAGCAATTCAGTAACTTCTTATTGATTGCCAACTGTGTGCCAGACTCTGGGCTAGGCACTTTCAGCCAGGCTGCTGTGCTTCCTGAGGGCCTAGCGGCTGTGCAGAAGAGGCAGCTCACCCCTTAGGGGCCACTGAAGTGGAGCTCAGCATCAGCTTACCTAAAGCAGCTGCAATTCTGAGCTGAGGTTAGAAGATTGGAGGAGTTTACCTTGAGGCAGGAGAGACTTCAGAGGTCAAGATGAGTCCCAGAGGAGACCAAGAAAACGGGCTATCTGAATTGGGTTTTGAGGAGTGAATAGGAGTTTTCCAATTGAAGAAAGAGCACTCCAGTCAGGAAAAAAAAACAGTATGAGTAAACATTTAAGAGGTCTTATCACTTGTGGGGTATTCAGAAATACAGCAAATCACAGAGGGCCTCGAATGCCTTGTTAAGTGACTTTACTCTGAGAACACAGAAGGGGGATACCAAAGAATTAAAGCTTAGGTGGGAGATGTGGAGTGTGCTATGATCAGATTCATGTTTGTGGAAGAAGATTCTGTGGCTACGGGAAGTGAATGGAGATGGGACACCTAGTGAGGAGGGTGATGCCGGTAAGTCAGATGAGAGATAATGGTGACCTGGTAGCTTAGAGCCATTTAGAAAGCATATTTATTAGGATAGGGTGATTTCTTGGATGTCGGGGTGAGGAAGAGGAAGGGGTCCAGGTTCCTGGGAGTGACTAGGTGAGGCCTTCACTGAGCCAGGGACTTGGAGATGAGAAGTAGATTTGAGGGGCAGATAATGAGCTCATGGTTGGACATGTTGCCTTTGAGATGCTTAGAGCATTTGAGGGTCAGGGTAGGGGGGTACTTTTACTAGGGGGTTGTGTGTAGACTCTGGAGTTTGGGAGAGAATTCTGGGCCAAAGGAAGGATGGCCAATTATATGAGAGTGTGTAGAGCTGTGCTTAAGAGAAGACAACCTCAGTGATTAAGAGCACAGAAAACTGCTGAAAGTTCAACTCCACTCTATAGCAGTGTGACCTTGAGCAAGTTGCTTAACATCTCTGAATCAGTTTTTTCATTTGTCAAATGGGTATAATAAAATTTCATGTCTCGTGGGGGTGTTATGAGATTAATACTCACAAAGTGCTTAGAACGGGGCCTGGCATCTAGTAAGCACTGTTATCTCAGTGTTAACAGTTGTTATTATGATCAATCATCCCATCCTCAGCAAAATCACAATGGGAGAGGCTTTAAAAACTGTGCATTGTTAAGGTTTGGGCATCAGCTCACCTAAAGTAGCTGCAGTTCTGAGCTTGGGTCAGCCTTGGTCAGCAGGTTGGGGAGTGCCCAGCCCTCAGCCCTCATTGTTGCTGGGAATGTATGTTGCTCAGGTGTGTTTGACCTTCTAGGGGCTGGTGTAAGAGGGCTAGAGGATGAAGCCCTGGGGAAGAGACCCCATGTTGGGAGAGGGTGGACAGGGATTCTGAGAAGGGGCAGCCTCAGCCAGTTGGGTTCCTCGTCTCCCCCACCTCTGGGCCCTGGGCATCTAGTGAAGTGTCTGCCTCTGAGGTCCAGATGCACCCCAACTCTGTGTCCCCAACCTCCAGATCTGAGAACAGTGGTTTTGGCTCCTTGGCAGTGTTTTAGCGGCCGCTCCTGAGGGCTGCTCCAGAGGGGGTGTCCGTGCTCCTCTAGATTCCAACTTCCTCCTGGTCCTGCTGCCAAGCCAGGTTCCAGGTCTGGCAGATGAGGGAGAACTGTGCCAGGACCAGCCCAGCTTGGTGCCAAGGCCTTCTTACCTGATCTCAGTCATGGCTGCCAGCCTCACCCCTTCTGAGGCCTTTCTGGGTGACAACCAGTGATTTCTAACTTGGGTCCCGCACCAATCAGGCCATTTCTGAATAGCTTTCTAGTTGGTCTTCTGGGTGTATCCCAGCAGCACTGATTGTGAGTCTGGAGTGGTTCTGGGAGCTGCTAGTGGTGAATCTGAGGGGTGATTCTGGTCACCCTCTTAGGTTGTTCTGGGGCACCGGTGGTTCCAGGTGCTGTTCCAGCTCTTCTGGAGTCCTGTTTGTGCTTTAGGGTCTTTCCAAGTACAAGGTCCTGTGCCTGATTCATCTGTTCCCTGACCCACCTCCGGGTCATTTGGGGCACACCCCCCTACTCAGGTGTGGCTCCCGCTCAGCTTAGGTCCTGTCTCCAGGCACCAGGCCCAGTGGTCCTGGTGTGGCCTTGGGCATGGCAGTAGTACCAGCTGGCTTGGGAGACCCTCCCTGTTCTCTGCCTCGGACTCTGCCCCTGTGTCCCCAACGGTGGAGCTGACAGCCTCACATCTGGCCCTGTGAGGCCCAGGCAGGCCGCCCCAGACAAATAGGCCTTTGAGTTTGGGACACGGAAGCTGGTTTGTCTGGCGAGACCCGCCCAACAGCCTGTGTGCTGGGAACAGGGGCCACAGGGAACTTTGTGGGGAAGCCCAGTGAGTAGGGGGAGGGAAGTGTGCGGCCATCCTGAGACCCAGGGCTGTGAGTTGTAGGGTGGGGGTGTTGGAGGTGGGAGAGGGTGTGAGCCACAGGGTCAGTGTGAAGAGCACTGGGTTGGCCAGGCCTGTCCTGGTTAGTCGGGATGGGCCTCAGTCGTAAGGACGTCCCCCGTGTTGTGGAGATGGTCTGTCTCCAGTGAGGCAGATTTCCCAGGTGCCAGGTGTGGGAGGCTGGCCTCGGGTCACTCCTTGACCCCATCCCAATGTGTCTGTTTCGGGAGGAGCCGGAGGGGATCTGTTGTGTAGGGTGGGATCCCTGTGTGCATGGGGGCATGAAGTTGGGGAAGAAACCCATGGTGAGGGGCCACCTGCCTGGAGTGGGCACTGGGGGGCCGGGATGCTGAGCGGTGGGGAGCTGGGGACGAGATGGTGTGGGCGTGTTTGACCCCTGCCTCCAACCAGGACGGGGCCCACACTGGTAGGGGCTCAATAATGGTTCTAGAAGGCAGGGGCCAGGCTCTGTCACTGTATGTGTGCCAGCGGAGGAGGCATCCAGGGGCACACCTTCATTTTTAAAATTACAGAGCAGCAGAGAGTCAAAAATAAATATTGCTTCTGAAGCTTCTTTGAAGGCTGCCTGGATGCTGGCATGGTCTCCCAGGCTGGGCTGTTCTCTGTGAACTCATTCATGCGTTCATCACTCAGCATATCTTGACGGAGTACCTACTATGTGCTGGCTCTCTGCTGGGCACTGGGGAGACAGAGCTAAGCCAGCATGCACTGAATTTATGGTTGTGACTCAGCGACTACTCGGCAATTGTGTAAATAAATAAGTCATCACATCTGTGGTCATCACTCCAAGGCAAGGTCCAGGCATGTCGTTGGGACATCCTGGAAGGCCTCCCTGGGAAAGTGCCATTGGCTCTAAGATCTGAGGGGTAACTGGCTAGAAGAAGGTGGGGAGTTTGTTCTGGGCAGTGGCTCAGGGCACAGGCAAGGCAGAGAGCCTGGAAGAATGTGGTACAGTTGAGATCAGAAGAGGAAGCCAGAGGCTGGCTGGCGGGAGGGAGCGTGGCCAGGTGGGTCTGCAGAGGTGGGCAGCACTGACTGCTGTGCTGGAGGGTTATGCTAATGGGTTTGGACACGTTTTACTGCTGAGGTCAGGGACTTGGTCTGTGTTGTTCACAGCTCTATGCAGGGTGTCTAGCAGAAAGCTTGGTGCATAGTAGGTGCTCAGGAGTATGGAAGGAGTGAGTGAGTGAGTGAGTAAATGAAGTGAAGAGATGGGCAGTTTTACTAAATGGGGATCGTCCTACATAAACAGTTCTGTCACCTGCTTTTCTTTTCCTGCCTAAAGAGCAAATTTTGAATATCTTTCTGTGTCAGTTCACATTCTTCTGGGATGAAATTCTTGCTGTTTTCTCATTCTTCCCTCTCTTTCCAGGAATGAGCAGAGGCCCCAGTGCCCTGCCCTCGGTCCTGGTTGTCCAAGAGTGACTGGCGTGATCAAGCAAAGACCCGGTGAGTGTCCCCCAGGTGTGACCAGGGCAGAGGCGCCGAGGGATCTGTGGGCCAAGCCAAGCAGCTTGGATTCTGATGCAGACCAGTGGAGAGCCCTGAGGGGTTGTCACTGGGGGCATGACATGATCCAGTGTGCGTGTGGCAGAGAGATAATAGAGTCCTGTGCCGGGAAGGCGGTGATGGAGGTGGAGAGAAGGGATTTGAGTGCTGTTTAGGGAGGCAGAGTTGACAGGACATGGTGAAGGGTGGAATGTGGGGCGTGAGGGAGGGAAGGTGTCAAGAATGGCTCCCAGGGTTCTGGCCGGAGTGGGTGATGGAGGTGGGTGGTGGAAATGATACACAGCTTGTCAGCTGCTGTTAGGTGTGAAATGGGCCTCTGGGACTTTCACCAGCAGCTCTCTTCTTCCCATTCACCATGTCTCTGTAGAAAAGACTGTTCCGGTTGACTGTGGGTTGTGGTAGAAAGAGCAGTGTACTCAGGGATCTGGGGCACATCTTTCCTCATCTGTTTGACATCCACTTCTTTCTGCTGGAGGCGCAAAGCATGTGGATTGGAGTTGCAGGGACTGAGGTTGGAGAGTTAGGTTGGAGTAAGAGCATGATCGGCCTTGGATGTCAGGCTAAAGATTGCTGACCTTTTCCTGAGGGTGATATGAAGGCACTGAATGTTCTTAAGCAGAGAAGCTACATCCACGTATTCATTTATCCATTCATTTGCTCATTCATTCGTTCATTCATGAAACATTATCTGCATGTCTGCTGTGGGATAAAGCAGCAAACAAAGTGTGCCGGAGGGCTGTGATCAAAGATGCAATTTTTTTGTAAGCTGAAAGGGGACATTGGTTTGTGTGCAGGATGTCTTGGAAGGGAGTGACCAGAGGCAGAAAGCCCACTGAAGACGTGGGTGCCCATGAGGTCTTCCTAGCCTGGCGGTGGTTGGGTAGAGGCAGGACAGATTCAAACGTGTTGACCAATTGCACATGTGGGATAAGGAAAAAAAGGATTTGAGGAGGCATGGCTAGCTTGGTTATGGTGGTGCTTGTCACTGAGAAGGGGACCTGGAGGAGGAGCAGGGTTGCAGAGAATGAGGTCTGGTTGGACTGTCCTCTGTAAGCTCCTTGAAGTCTGAGCGTATGGCTGATTCATCACCTTGCCTTCTGGCTCAGGGCCCAGTAGGGCCCACCGGTCAGTTCTGCATGATGGCTGGTGAAGAGGGCGGTGGTAGAGATGAGTCTGGCCTAGGCAGGGAAAGGAGAGGAGCATGTATTGGGTATCTGCTGGGGCTGGGCCCTGTGCATGGCGAGGTGGGCTCCAGGGTTCTGTAGAAGGTGCAGCAGGAAGGGAAAGTCAGATGGGGAGGGTAGGTATGGGGATACTCTTCACCTGTCCATCTTCAGATGATGCGTCTGACCTTCTTGGGAGCCCAGTCTCACCAGAAAAGGTGCCTGAAAGTGGAACCCTCTGTCCTCTGGGGAGGCCACTGGCTGATGGCGGGTGTGAAAGGGTAGGAGTGGGGTGTGCTGTACAGCCCAGCTTCTGGAGGCATGACTGACGTGGAGAGGGAGGGGAAGATGCTCTGAGATCCTGAGGCCCAGGTACAGCTAATATAGGAGTTAAGCATACCTTGGGTGCAGGGCCTCGGGTACTCATAGGGACTGAGTTCTGGGGCAGGGGCCAGGGCAGACCCTAGGCTACATCAGCAAGGGATCTTGCTGTCTACATCAGGGTTTCTCAGCCTCAGTACTGTTGACATTTTGGACCAGATAATCCTTTGTTGTGGAGGGCTGGCCCATTATTGTAGGATGTCTAGCAGCATCCTTCGTTCCTTCCTATCATTGCCAGTAGCCTACTTTCTACCCCCAGTCTGGACAATCAAAAGTGTCTCCAGACATCGCCTAATGCGCCATGGCAGGGCAGAACCACCCTGGATGGAGAACTACTGGTCAACACCACTTCTTGCTGCCTTCACTGTGCTGTACAAATCTGGAAACCTGGGGAGGATCACTCAGGGAAGATTCACAGTGATAGGCCACTTGAGCTGAGTTCTGGAGGGTGAGTAGGTGGCTGGGGCTGGGGAAGGTGTTCTCAGTAGAGAGAACAGCAGGTGCAGAGGCCTGGAGACAGCCATGTTGGTGCGCATTAGCCCAAGGGAGGCTCCACTCCCCAGAGGAAGGAGGCTGGAGGGGTTATAGCTATTGGTCTTCTGCCCCCAGAGCTAAGCCTCTGCTAGAGCTTTCTCCCCCTACCCCACCCCACCCCACCCCAGACCTCTGGGACGCTCTTCCTAAGCTACTCTTCTGATCCCAGGGGAGACCAAGGAACTGATGTCCGCCAGAGGAAAGGGGTCCCAGCTGCTGGAGGGCGGGTGGGGCCTGATCCTGGCTGTGCTCACAGACTCTGGCCAGCTGGCTGGAGGAGGGAAGGCGGCCTGCTGCCGGCTGCCTTCTTTCCTGGGGCCAGGGTCATGGCTGAGACTGTGATTTATTCCCATCATAATCTGGTGGTTGGTTTGGTGAGAGTTGGAAACACGTTGGTTTTCCCTTCCCAAGTGTAACAAGGCCTGTTTCCGCCTCCGCGGCTGCTGCTGCAGTGCCACGCGGTGAACTGTCCAGGACGTGACAAAAGGGCTCGGTTAGCTGCCCGCCAGTTAGACAACAGCTCTCGCTCTCCCTGCTCTCACGCCCTTCTTGCCCAAGCACTGGCCTCTCCCCTTGGCCGGCAGCTCCATGGGGCCCTGGATACCCCTCCTTCTGCTGATGTCTGTTTTGGGGCCTCAGCCTCCTGGGAGCTGGGGTCCTGGCCTGGGGAGGAAATGGGGAGGAGGCTGCAGGAACAGGTGATATTTGGAGTCTAATTAATATTTGTGAATAATAACACGTGCCCAAGGGAAACAGATCAATCTGTGTTTGCATATTCATGAGGAGGCCTCCGGACTGATCCCAGCTGTTTGCCAACCAGGGAACACCCCCAGCCCATCTCTGGCATCACATGGTCTCTGGGGGAGGGGTTGCCATCGAGTCTGGCAGGGGTGGTTGGGGTGGACTGTGAGGAGGTGACATGGCCTCTGTGTAACAGGCCTTTCTGTAACGTTTGCATCCAAATCCTGTGGCTTGATGTGCCTGCCCCTTCCTCTTCCCTCAGAGCAGTGATTCTCAGACTCTTCAATTTCACAAACCAGTACAATTTCCAAAAGTACCTGGGGGCCAGATGTGGGGTTGGAAGTTTTTTATTTTGCCAAGTAAGGACATTATAAACAAAATAACTGGTATCTGCTGTCACCATCCCTTCATACAAGAAAAGACATTCTAACAACAAGGACAGCATTTCAGTGTAAAGGACAGTTCTTCCTACGAAAGGGCAGTTGGCAGCTTTACACTGACTTAGCAAAGAAAAAGGACATATTAGAACCATTCTGAATGTAGAAAAATGGCCTCCAATGATATTCTACATCATTCAGTATGGAATTGTTTTCCTGCCCGAGTGTGTCAGTTTGGTGGAACCGACGGTCCGCAGTGCAATCCAGAGACAGCCGAGTGTGCAAGTGCTCAGGCCGCCTTGTCATCGCGGCTGTTGGAAGCCCCGCCACACGAGCAGAAGTGGACGCTCTGCTCTGCACCCTGTTGCACTGGAGTCAGAAGCTTCTGGGCAACCCAAGCAAGACTAGCGTCGGTCCCACCTCCCTGCTTCTCAACCGCCACCCACCCACAGGTGACCCTGAGCACTCTGGGGTTGGTGCAGGGCCAACGGCTTGACGGAGGCCAGACCCGGGGAGCCAGGATCCTACGCGGGGGCCCTGAAGCTGGGAGCAGCCTGTACTGCCTGACACTGGGGCGGGCTCCATGCCCAGAGGCGGGGCGGGGCAGCTTGCTCACACCAGGAGCTGGTGAGGGAGAGGCCCTGGCTCAGACAGCTATGTGGTGGCCAGCGTAGTTCCCTGGGAACGTGTCTGTGTGTCCCCGGGTCTCCCCATCTCTGGGAGAGAATGTCATTGTTTTCAACATCTCCACCTCTGTCTGTCCTGCTGTCTGCATCTGAACAGTGTCCTAGGCAAGCCAGACCCAGATACACGGGGACCCTGGAGTTCTCAAATAAGGGCTACTTGTCTTTATCACATTGAGGGTGGGATTACCAGAGGCCCAGTTTCTCTAACACCTGTGGCCAGAATTGCGTCCTAGATTGTCACATGATGTCTGTTCCAGAATTCTGCCCCCAAGACGGCTGTACTGGGAACTGACACCCCACAATGTCTGTGACAGAGTTACACCTGTATGGTGATGTACTGGGGAGTTACACCCCTATAATGTCCATCAGGCAGCTGCACCCCCATGATGTCTCTCCCTGGGAGTTACACTGCTATGATTACCGTACCGAGGCAGCTGCAGGGGCTCACACCTCAGTGGCAGTGGTACTGGGGAGTTACACCCTGTGGTGCTGTACAGTGGTACCTTCAAAATGTCTCCTCTTTGTAACTTCATCCCCTCTACGTCCATACCAGAGAGGTGTGTCCCCCATGATGTGTGTTCCTTAGGGTTATGCCCCTGTGGTGTCCGCACTGGGCGGGGGCGGGGGTCTCACCCAGACTGCTTGTACCTGGGAGTGAAACCTCTGTGAATGTTGTATTGTTGCACCCCATGATGTCTGTATGAGTCCCCTCTGCCCCTGTTCTTTGATGCAACACACCACTGACACCACTGAGCTATAAACCTGTGACAGCTGTACGAGGGGCTGCAGGATGGTTGTTTCAATGGGCCATACCCCCATGACAGCCTGACCAGGCTGTTCACCCCATGATGTGTGCCGGAAAGTTGAATTCTATTGTTGATTGCACTGCTGCACCACAGGGCCGTGATGACCAAGTCCAGGGCCTGAGTGATGCGTGACCTCCATCCCAAGTTGGCCATACAGGGCATCACAGTGGAGACTCCCTCTCTTCTGGTCTCAGCCCCCTGAGCTTTGTGATCACTGAATGGAACCCTAGGTGTGGTGTAAACGGGGCTGGATGCCCTCCAGGCCACTTCAACATTCTTGCTTTTGCTGCTTAGCGCATCTCAGACTTTGGTGAGATCTTTGGACAAGAGACATCTCCCCACCACTTTCCCTTCGTGTTCGGTCTCCGCCCTGCTTCGCAGTCCTACCTGCTTTGTCCCAGCACCTTTGCTCACCTCCTGCCCTCTGATCTAAGGACCTTTGACCGTCGCAGTTGAGACTAGAGTTCAAGTTCCAGGAAGGAGCAGAGCAATCTGTGAGCCCTGCCTCTTCTTGTTCACCAGCTGTGTCACCTCCTTGCAAATTCTCTTACCACTGTGGGTCAGCTGGCACCTGGGTCTGACCCCACCAGAGTACATGTGTACTACTGTGGGGCCCCAGGGTGTGTTCACCATCACTCACTCTTGCTCTGTGCCCTGTTGTGGCATTAATGAGGGACTTTCATGCACCAACCCCTTGCCCAGTGTAAGGTGTGAGCAGAGCTGGTGGGCATTGGTGCGGATCCCCTGAAGCCCCCTGAGTGGGGAACATGGGAGAGAGACCCCCCAGGAGCTCACCACTGGGGCTGGGGAGTGATAGAGGTGTATCCATCCAATCTGGCCATGCTGAGGGTTCCACAAAGTTGCTGGGCAGAGTGGGGAGGGCACACCTGGCGAGGAGCCCTGGAGGTACTCAGACAATCCCAAGAGCAGTCTTGCCCATACCCAGGGTCCTGTCTCAGCCAGGATGCCGGTTTTGAGCAAGTGGCTCTGTGAGGTTTGCACCCCACCCCTTGATCTGCTCTGGGCTGCTGGGGCAAGGGCATAGGAGGGTGGGGTTGAATCTTAGGGTCCAGCACCCCCATTCCACCAGGGACTCCTTGTGGTTTCCCTTTGGAGTGGGATGGTGCCATGGGAATTGGGTAGGATGAGGGTGGCCAGGCGGGGCAGCTACAACTTGTCCAGAGCACGTCCTGGCGAGCCCAGACTGGTTGTGGCTTGGCTCCAGGCCTCTGATACCTGGATCCTGTCTGTCTCTACCAAAGCTGTACTCTGGGACCTGTGCCCGGCTGGCATTCAGGGTCTGCTGGGGAGAGGAGGGGCTACACAAGGCCCCAGGAACTCTGGAGTCTCTGACCTCCATGAGTCTGCTCCCTGTCCTGGTCTGGTTTTGTCTGGTCCCTGTCTCTGTCTCTTAGACCCCGTTTCCCTGTCCCAGTCCCCTTTCCGAGGCAAGTTGGAAACTCAGGGTCTGGAATGGAACATCCCTGCACATACCCTGGTCTCAGTAGCCCCTGCTCCTCCTCAGGTTTAGAGAATGACCTGAAGGCCTCTTGTGCTCTCTCCCTACATGTTACTGGTGGGTTATCCTTAGGCCCTGGGGGATCAGTGAGGGGCCTGGGTTTTCACAGGCGTTGGAAGGTCTGGGTGGTCATTACATAGTCCAAGGAAGGAGTGTCTGTTGAACTAGGTTCTGGATGGTCAGTGAGGCTTAGTGGGGGTCTTAGTGGTAAGTGGGGACCAGAAGGTGGCATGTGGGCAGTAGGACATTGGTGGATACCAGCTAATTGGCTCTGCCCTTCTCTCCATCACAGGTTGATTGTCCTGGGCTGTGGCTGGCCTGGATGGCCCCCCAGCTAGCCCCAGGGAGGACGATGGTGCCCCTTGTGCCTGCACTCGTGATGCTTGGTTTGGTGGCAGGTGCCCATGGCGACAGTAAGTCTGACCCCTCAAGGTGTGGGATCTCCCAGATCAAAAGGTGGCATTCCTCCCAGCAGAACTCTGGGATAGGAGACAGGACCAGCCACTAGGAGAGACAGGATGGCTAGATACCCCTCCAGACCTTCTTCTGTCCTAGAAAGACACCCCCATGAATTTCAAGAGTGCCCTCTCCAGGGAGTACCCCAGCCCCATGCTTCCTAGGGGCATCCTGTGGAAATACCCACATGTCTCTTAAGGCACCTGCAGGGTGGGGCATGTCTAAGTGTGACCCTGTTTTATGGGATGGACGTGAGACATCCAGAATTCATGTGGTCATTAGGTAATATGCTCAGGTGTGTGCTGTGTCCCTTACTGAGGATCTGTGCAGAAGGCACAGTGTGAGCCATGGGGGGCCTTGGTAAGAGAATAAGGGGGCCACACACAAGGAATGTGTGTGGACGTGTGTATGGGATGCCAGATACGTCCACAGGTCCAGAGAACGATTGGACGCCGAGCCACCACAGCCCCTCCCGTGGGCTGGACACTGAGCCCTTCCTTGCCCTTCCTTCCCCTTCCCGCCTTCAAGGCAAAGAAATATCTCCCTTCCCCAGCTCCTCAGCCCTGAGAATGGGGGAAGATTGCACTTGGCCACAGGAAGCTTGGCTCCAGCGCCCCTCTTTGTATTGGAAGAGGTGGGATTGACCCCTGCGCAGATCCAACTCAGAACTTTGGTCCCTTTCCTGCCGCCCTTCCCCCTGCCTGGCACTACAAGACTGGCCGCAGCCCGCCCTGTCGCCATGGTTACCACTGCTTGGTTACGAGTGGGAGGCGGGGCACAGGGCAGATTTAGCCAATCTGCACACTGAGGGGGAGGGACGAGGTCGGGGCCAAGGTCCCTGGGGGAAGGGGCTGTTCCCAGCCTGTCCGGAGCCCAGAGGTGGCCAAAGGCCAATCCTGGGGTCGGTCTGAGGGTCAGCAGGCCAGAGGGTTCCCCCACCCTCCTCTCCAAGTGTCTGGACGCAGATCTCTCTCCTTGCTCCACCCAAGCCTTTTCTCCTAATGCCTCATTAATTATTCAGCACGAGATCCTGGAGGGGGTGGGACTGGAGTACCCCACCCTTAGTCCTCCAGGCTGGGCTCAGAGGGGGCTACTAGGGCAAGAGGAAGGGGAGGGCATCGCTCCAGGGTGTGTGGTGAGTGATGGGAGCAATGAGGTGGGGGGGGGGTGGATGAGAGGGCTGGGCTAGCAGGAGCAGGGCGGAGTTGGGGTGGGGGTGATTGGCAGGCCTGGCTGGGGCTGCCGGGAGAGAGCTGGAGCCTGCAGGGGAAGGCTGGGGTAGAAGTCACTGGATGTGACTCAGAGATGGCAGGGAGGCAAAGGCTTGCCAAGTTAGCCCTGAGACACTGAAGTCCTGGCCTTGCTCCTCCACCCTCTCCCTGGACACTAGGGCCTTCAGATGGGAGTTTGGAGGCAGAGGGAGGACTATGGGGCTAAGCTTTCAGGGACAACACACTCTGGGAGCATAACTGCCTTCCCTCCTGCTCAGACCCAACATGCTCAAACCTGTACCCTCACCCTCACCCCCCAGACCTGCTTGTCTTTCTGTGTTCTCTCTCCTGGTGAGTGGCTTTCCCACCCACCCAGCCACCCAAGTCAGAAATCCGGGCCTCCTCCCAGCCTCCTCCCTCCCTCATACCCACATCTAATTCATCACTAAGTTCTGTTGCTTCTCCCTTCTGAATATCTTTGGAATGCATCCACCTCTCTCCCCACTGCCCTCACCCAAGCCACTCAGCCCTTGCTAGGGCTTTTGCACACAACCACCTCCTGATGGCCTCCCTGCTTCTAGTCTCCCCTTATGGGCCATTCTCCGCATGAAAGTAGGAGTCATGTTGCAAAATGAAAGCCTGATCGTATTGCCCCTACTCTCCTTCCTTGTTGCCCTCAGGATCAGCCTTGGGGTCTCCACCCTTCTCCAGACCCTGCACCTGTATCTGCCACCACGTCCTTCACCTGCCCCTATACCACTCCCCCGCCAAGCTGACTGCTCAGTTGCTCACGTGCTCCCAGGCTCCTCTGTTCCTTCTGTTTCCTCTGCCTGGAGCCCTCTGCCCCAGATCCTTAGGTTCCTACTTACCTGGAGCCATCACTTCCTCCAGGAACCTGGGTCGTGTGCTTCTCCTCTGGCTCCTTTGTATTACATGATTGTAACTCTGCTTCAGGTCCACATGTCCCATTGGACTGTGAGTCCCAAGGGGTCAGATCATTGCCCAGCTCAGACCCTGGAGTGTGTGGAGGGGTGGAGTCAGGCCTGGACCCCCAGTAGAACTCTAGGGTCGGGAACGGTTTTTAGAGTAGAGTCCAAGAGCCTCCATGGTGATCCCTTAAGGGTCAGAGCCCAAAGATCAAGGTCTTGGGGGTAGGAAATAGGTGAGTTGGGCTCTGCTACCAGGAGAGAGGGGTGGGAGAGGGGTGTGAGCTGGGGTCTGTGGTGACCTGGCCCAGGAGGTAGAGTCTGCCTGACATGTTGCAGGTGCTTTTGGGTCTGTTCCCCCGCCGTGGCCAAGCTTGGGCTGGGCCTGGGAGACTTCTAGCCAGGGTGAGCAGACAGCGTGGACAGGGCTGCCGCAGAAGGTAGGGCAGGCGCCCCAGAGAATTGACGACTGGTGCAGTGGAGCGTGGAGCGGACAAATGTGTTTCTATAGGCCTCTTAACGAGACAAATGAATGGGGGCCCTGGCCTCTGAGGGTAGCGCAGGGAAGTGGGGCGGAGAAGCAGCTGCTAAGAGTTAGCCCAGAAGCCCCGGTGTCAATACCAAGTCAGCTCCGACGGAGACCTGGGCACGCAGGGCTCAGCGGCTCCCCAGCCCCGGGCTTTGTGGCTTCTCAGGAGGGAGGCTTGTGGGGCCAGAGGTGGTCCTCAGCAGGAGGAGGTTTCTACTCATCTGCTGTGTCCATTCCAGGTGCTCGGTGGGAAGGCCCCATATAGGCCTGCCTTCAGAGCCCGCAGTGTGGGTTACCTACAGCAGCGTGCGCTGTGCAGGGGGTGGCACTGTCACAGAGGTAGTGACCTAAGCATCGTGGGAGTTGGGGTGGGAGGCTTCCTGGAAAGGGGGAGCCCTGGAGGGTGAGTGGGCATTTGCTAATGGGGGATGCTGCCAAGTGAGATGAGACTGTGGGGGAAGAAGCAGGAGTGGGCCTAGGCTTCTCCCTGGAGCTCATGGGAGAGCCACGGTGAAGACCATCTCCCTTTGTCCCCAGACAGCCTGGGACAGAGGCCGCGATGCAGAACTAGGTGACCAGGTGTGAGTGGGGCCCTGGTGTGGCCCAGTTACTTGGAATCATAGGAGCCTAAAGCAGGATGCCCAGTGGCCAGAAAGTGGTGGGTGGGGGCAAAGACCTAAGTGGCTGGGGATACGTCTGTGGCATCTCAGCCCCCCACCCAGCCAGTGGTGCTGGAACGTGGCAGGGTGCTGCACACAGTTCTGCAGTGCCCTCCCCCTCCCACTTGGGGAGGCAGGACCTGGTGGCCCGTCTAGACTCTGCCCTTTGTGGAACTTCTGGCAGGTTGCTTTCTCTCTCAGGGCCTGTTTTCCTATTGCACAACGAGGATGACTACTCCTACCTGGAAAGGTTAACTGAGGTCGCGTGTGTAAGGCACCTAGCACTTAGTATGTGCTCCCCCAATCCCAGGCCATGACCCAGGGCTCTTGTGTGTCCTCCGGGAACCCAGAGTTGTCTCTGAGCGGGCTACCCACCCAGGGATACCAGGAGTGGTCACAGGAGCCAGCGTTAATGAGTCCCAGTTTCATTAGGCGGTTCAGGGCCTGGGAAATCCACCTCTCTAGCACCTCCTTCCCCTGCCTCACCACCCCTAGTGCTGTGTGTTTGTGTACATGTATACGTGTACTCTGCAGTCATCTCCCTGTGGAGCAGCCTTAGGTGGCTCTGTTTGGCTGTCCCGAGGGCTGGACCCTGGGAGATGTTGGACCCCCACCCCCACCCCAGGATGGCCCACTTGTTTCCTTCCTTAGGCCACCCCCTCCCACTTTGCATGGACTCGGCAGCTTGAGGATGTTCAGGGCATGCCCCTGGGAGCTGCTGCCCAAAGGCCTGTGCAGCCCACCACCTCTGTGTGGTGGGGCAGCCGAGGTGGAGCCACATTCTGGTAGGGCGGAAAGCCCCTCCAGACAACTGGTCTCCAAAGTTCTGTTCACACCCTCACTGAACACCAGCTCTGGACCAGTACTGGGCAGAGTGGTCAAGCTGCCTAATTTTACCTGCCTGCCTGGGGACTTGACCAGTCACTGTGGCCCAAGGGCTGCAGTATACAGAGCAGGCTCCCACAGGCTTGGGAGTGGGGTGCATGAGACAGTCGGAGCATGTGCAAAGCGAGGGGGTACCCACAGGCCTGGGTTGGGGTGACACATCCACTGGGCCTGAGCTGTGTCCTACACAGTTCTTGGCCCATGGCAGGTGCTCGTTTTTTGAAAGAGTCAAGAAAGGTGAGCCTGGAGAGGTTAGCAGCAGTGTGGGGAAGGGAGCAGGGAGACAAACTTCAGCACAGTTTGTGCTCCCCAAAGTCCACCTGGTGAACCGAAGGGACGAGGGCTTGTCAGGGCTGCCGGCTTGAAGTGCCCTCTCTCAGGGGTGGGTGGGCTGGGGGAAGTGAGGGTGAGGTCTGATGGAAGGGAGGGGACTGCCCCTCCCCCTACTTGGCTGCCACAGGCTTGGGCACTGCTAGTCTTGCCAGAGTCTAGTGGGTAGGTGGGTGGGCTGGGCGGGGCCCTGGCCCCTCTCCAGTCTCCCTGGAGTGGAGGGGTCCACCTCCCCGAAAGCCCCAGGCCTTGGGCACCATCCAGCCTCCACTGTACTCAGGCCTTCCCCCTCTGCCGCCCTCTCTCTCTTATGACCTGTACCTGGCTCCCTCCCCAGCTTCTGGTTCTTTGTTTGGCGCGGAGGCCCCACCCCCAGGCCCACTCACCCAGCCATTCTGGTTCAGCAGGTTCCAGCCTTTGGTTTCTGAAGCCAACACGTTGAGGCAGGAGCCAGGAGTGTTTCACCCGGCTTCTCTCCCTGGCAGAGGGAACTCCCCCCGTGTGTGAGGGGCGAGGTCTCCATCCTCTGTAGGCCTTCCCTTCTTGTCAGGTCACTCCTTCACTTGTTCCCCACCCCCGTGTGCCAGGAACAGGGTCGTCATTGGGACGGGGCAGGAAGCAAGGCAGGCGTGGTGTCTGCCCTGCCCAGGGTTATTGTTCCCTGTGGGGAAGCAGCTATGAATCAAATAGTCCTTCAAAATGTGGGAAAAGTAATAACCTCACACGTGTACATAACAACCGTGAGCAAAAGTAATAACCTCACACACAGAAGTAACAAACCGTGAGCAGTGCTGTGAGAGAGGCTGAGGGAATCACCAGAGGGCCTAAAACCCAGAACTGAGCTAATGGAGGTGGGCGACGGCAGGAGTGCCAAGGAAGGTTTTCTGAGGAAATGATGTTTAAACTGAGATTAGAAAGATGAACAGAAGTTAGTGGGTAAAAAAGTAGTCTAAGAGATTTGTGACAGCAGGAGCAGCTTATGCAAAGGCCCTGAGGCTGCAGGGAACATTACTTATCCAAAGGATGGGAAGGCAGGGTTCTAGGGACTATGGAGGGTTTGGATCGGACCTGGCAGGGCTCTGTCCACCATGACAAGAGTTTAAATTTAGTTTTGAGAGCCATGGGGGGCTTTTGGAGGGTTTTTACAGGGAATAAGCTACCACTTCACTCTGGCTGCTGAATAGAGACTAGATGGGGGCAGGCAAGCTGGAGGCAGGGTTAGTGGAGTGTCCAGTCGAGGGAAAGTGATGTCTGGGCTACGGTGGTGGCAGTGCAGAAAGAGATGGGGTGCTGCTGCCAGGAGGCCTTCCGGTGTAGGGGAGAGGTGAGCAATGGGGAGATAGGCAGGAGACTCTTCCCCTGCTGAGTGGGGGAGTCCCATCTGAGAAGACCTGACTGAAAAGACCAGCAAACAAGGACAGGCTCTGCAGAGAGCTGCAAACTGGGAGAGTCCGGAGCCTTCTTCAGAGGGTGGTCAGAGCAAGTGTGAGGCAAACTGAGGCTTCCTGAACCTGTGTGATGTCCCGATGTCCCCATGCCACTCTGGTTTGAGTGTTTCCCCCACCAAGGCTGCCCCTGGATGCTCTGGGTACCCCCAGGCACAGTCAGGTGGGTAACCAAGTTTCCCTCCTCCGGGGAGGCTCTAGGTGCTGTAGGATGTGCTTCAGATTTAGAACACGTTCTCAAACCTGGCTCTACCCCCAGATCACTCACTCTGAGATGTGTCTGTTATTTAACCTTCTGAGCCGCCATTTCCTGGTCTCTGACGCGGGGGTGATGAGGGTGATGGCCACCCGCCTGCAGGGCCCACCACGTGCCTAGCCTGTGTAGGCAGCCTGCAGAAGGTCATCACGCTTTGTCTGCGCAGACCCCTGTGTCACTAGCACCATACTGCAGGTGAGAAAACAAAGGCTCAGAGGTCGTGAGTGACTTTCTTAATAGTTACATAAAACCTCCAGAGCCCACTGGACCCTGGGGTGATGTGTAAGATGGGCCCCTCCCAACTGTCTGTACCTGCATCTGTCACTCCCGACCCTGCTGGTGCCCCAGATCCTCCCTTCCTCAGAGACTCTGCCCCATCTGCTGTCCCTCCTCTCTCCACTGGATCGGCACCTTCTCCCTCTGCTGGCTCCTTCCCATCAGCATTTAAACACTGTCTTTCACATCTTAGGGGACAAAAAACGCAAGAATATGAAAACTTCCCTCCAGCCCTCATCCCTTCCAAGTGCCATCTTCTCTTTATCTTCCCCATCACAGCCAATATTCGTCAAATAGTCGTTGTATTCCTCTCCCACGTATCTCCTTGACCTTCTTTGGTCTGACTTTGCCCCCCGCCACCCCACTGACTCTGCTCTGGACAATGCCCCCAACAATGCCATGTGAACTGTTTTTTGCCAGGTGTTTAGGAGTCACACAGGGTTGAATTCACGTCTTGGATGTGCCGCTCATTGGCTGTGTGACCTTGAGCTAGTGACAACCTCTCTGAGCCTGTAAACTGGGGATAACAACAATGAAGGACTAAATGAGATAAAGTACCTGGTGCAGAGCAGGATTATCATCATTGCACAAACATGTTTCTGCGCCAGAGACCAGGCAGGGCCTGGGCTCATCGGCACCAAGCAGGTGGTTTGAAAGGTCACTTCTCACGCTATCAGCCTTCCTGGAGCTGTTCATTGGCCTGATTAATAGGAAATGGATCCGCTGTCGGGATTAATGAGGCATTGCTATGTCTTAATGAAGGCCGAGTTTCCCAGGTCTTGTGACCCTGGGTGGTGGGATTCACAGGGACAGGTGCTCCAGGTTGGCCCTGGTGCCTGTATCAGGGGGATGTGAGTGGGCATGGCAGTATAGTGTCTTAGCCCCCTTCTTTCTCCCCCTTCCCCACTTCCCTGTGGATACTTTGGGGAGACGTCTAGGCCTCAGAAAACAATAACCAAGTCACTGGGAGCAGGGTGGGGAGGGCAGATTTACAGGAAAGCATTCACCTGGGAAGACGTCCAGAGATACTTAGGAGGTAGAATGTCTAGGCCTTCGGGACTGATGGTGTGTGGGGGCGGGGGGATGGGAGGAGTCATGGTTTCTGGCTTGAGCCTTGGGGTAGTTAGAGGTACCATTACCTGGGTAGAGAGCAGTGAGGGAGGGACCCGTCTGGGGGAGATGCTGGGGCTGTTCCCGGCAGCTCTCAGCTTGCCTTTGTCCTAGAGCTTGGAGTTGATGGGGGGATGGGAGACAGAAGAGTGTAGCAATTAAAGCGTGAACTCCAGACTCAGAGCACCTGGGTTCAGATCTTGGCTCTGCCACTAACCAGCTGTTGTTTTGGGCAAATCCCTTAACCTCTGTGTACCTTGACTTTCTTCTGTATAAGCAGAGGTAATTGCAGCACCCACCTCATGTGCTCACAGCTCCTTGAATAGTGCCTGGCACATAAGAAGCACCACATTTAGGCGTCACCCCCTTGTTTCCTCTATAAATCTTTTCTTTTTGGTATATGTATTTTTTTTATTGAAGTATAGTCAGTTTATAATGTTGTGTCAAGTTCTGGTGTACAGCACAGTGCTTCATCATACATGAACATACATATATTCGTTTTCATCCTCTATAGGTCTCTCTTGTCCCCTCCAAGACCCCCACTACTGCCCCTGATAGTATAGGGCCTGTCTGCAGTGGTGGTGCCATGGTGACCTGGTGTCTCCATCTCTCCAGGCAAACCTGTCTTCATTAAGGTCCCTGAGGACCAGACTGGGCTGTCAGGAGGGGTGGCCTCCTTTGTGTGCCAAGCTGCAGGGGACCCCAAGCCACGCATCACGTGGATGAAGAAGGGGAAGAAAGTCAGCTCCCAGCGCTTTGAGGTACGTCCTCAGGTGGGAAGGGGCCGGCAGGGCTCAGAATCGGCCTGTTCTGGGGTCTGATCTTACTTTACCTCCTTTGGTCTCCCTCCCTGGGGGCCATTTGGTGGCAGGAGGATGGCTGACCCTAAGCAGGCCCCTGTGTCCTTAACAGGCTGTGACCACGTGTCTGTTCTCCGGCAGGTAATCGAGTTTGACGATGGAGCGGGGTCCGTGCTTCGGATCCAGCCGTTGCGGGTGCAGCGAGATGAAGCCATCTATGAGTGCACAGCCACCAACAGCCTGGGAGAGATCAACACTAGTGCCAAGCTGTCAGTGCTCGAAGGTACGTGCTGGGAAGGGGGGGGCACGGTGGGTGGGGAGACTGATGTGGGACAGAGCCAGCCAGCCAACCCTGTCCCCGCCATGGGCTGGGAGGTGTTTGAGGGAGAGAACTGTCTGTCCTGGGGTCAGCAATGATCAGCAGTGGACAGGGATGGTTGCTGGATTTTTGGCTTGTGTTGTGGCCGGCTGTGTCCCGGTGTCTTTGTATTCTATTCTGCTGAGCTGGGGCATTGCTGGGATGGTGTCTGGGGTCTGACTTGAGGTGTGGGGCTGCAGCTGCATATTCTTGGGGTGCTTGGCTTGTGGCAGTGGCTCTGATTTTCAGGTGGAACCTGGCTTCAGAGAGGTGTGTTCCCTGTTGCCCATACGAGCAGGAGGCTGGGGTTCTGTATGTGGATTTTAGTGTATTCTCTCACTTGATGGCTCCTCCATTCATTCACAAACCCTCCCTAATAATGCCTTGTGTCCTGAGAGGTCTCTGACCTGGTCTGCCCTTGAGACTTGTCTCCAATACATCCCATGGGAGCTGCCCAGGGGGCCCAGGGTGTATGGGGAGAAGGGAGCTGTTGTCTATGCTGAGTCCTGAGGACAGGTGGGAGTTGGGGTGGGGACCTGGGCAGGAGAACAGCATCAGCATGTGCCAAGGCCCAGAGGCAGGAGAGAATGGAGCTTTCAGGGAACTCTGAGTGGTTCCATTTGGTTTTGAGGGGTGGGGGTGGCTGGAGGGCACAGAGACAAGCCAGGAAGAGTAATTCAACATAAGGCTGGAGGGCAGGCCACACAGGACCAGGCTGAAAAACAAACATTATCCTGGGGACATAGGAAGCCATGAATGGGGTGAGGAGTGATCGCCCCCCCCAGCCACGAGGAGTCATGAGTCTGAATACACTGGCATGTATTTTTGACATATGGCATTGTTGCTTTTTAAAAAATTACAATAACAATACATGTTCACTGTTGAAAATTAGGTAAGTGTAAAATAGCACATAGGAAAAAAATAAAAATCACCTGTGTATCTTATCTCTACTGTTAACATTTGGTTATTTCGTTTTAGTCCATTTTCTGTGCATGCATTATATGTATAACAAAAACGGGATTACATTCTGCCCAAAGATTTGTAGACTGCTTTTTTAAAAAACATATCGTGAACGTCTTCCTCACCATTAAATATGTCTCTGCATCATTATGTTTAATGGCTGTGGGTAAGTGTCACATGGAGGTACCCTAAATTATTTAGCCATTCCCTTATTGTTGGGCACATACGTTGTTCCCAGTTCTTGCTTTTATAAATAAGGTGCTATACGCTTCCTTTCAGATAAGTTGTGTTCACCTTCCTGATTATTTCCTTGTTCTAGATTTGTGGAGGTGGCATTGCTGGATCAAAGGGCATGTGCATTTTTAAGCCTTTTCAGTATTTTCAGAAGATTGTGTCAGTTTACACTCCCACCAAACGGCATAAGAGGGCCTCTTTTCTGCACATCTTCACCAGTAGTGGGAATTATCATTAAGAAGAATCTTCGCCAAGTTAATAGGCAAAAAATGGCATCTCAATTTAATTTGCATTTCTTTGATTACAAGAGCAGTTGAACATCTTTTCCTATTGGCCGTTTTTACACTGTGGCTTCGTGTGTTCACACACACATCCATTCAGTAGCTCCTTTGCATCCTTGTGTCTCCTGCAGGGCTGGGCGGGGCCCTGCAGTGTAGAGGGGCAGTGAAGGGAGGACACTGGTTAAGAGCAGGGGCCCTGGACCACTTATTCTCTCACTTTGGGACCTCGGGCAAGTAACCATGCCTCTGAGCCTTGTTTGCTCCATCTGTAAATAGGGATGTAATAGCTGTCACCCAGGTTGCTTTGGAAGATCGAATAGGATGTGGTTAAGCCCTTAGCCAGATTCCAGCATGGATGGGTAGTTGCTGTTGAGCTGGGAACAGCACATCCTGAGGCCCAGACGAGTGAGCTCGCTTCCGTGCCACCTGGCATCATCCGGGTGGTGCAGCCCCCACCACACACTCCCACAAAGCGGTTTTACCTGTGGGGCAGGGGCCCAGAGGACAGGCCCTGGGCCAGGATCGCTGTTGAGTGCTTTCAGGCTCCTCCCTGCCACCCCTGACCTGAGTTTCCTCACTCATGACCTGGGGACAAGGATTTCAGCCCTGTCCTCCCTCCTCTTGCTATCTGCCCCAGCAGGAGCCATCTGCCCTGCCCTGGCATTTGGGAGGTGGCTCAAGGGCCAGACTGGCTCCCGCCCCAGAGGGCATCTCTCAGGCTCTCATATTAAGGGAAAGAGAGTTCCCCCCCAGAGCCCCTCCGCCCCAGTTTTGGGCCTTGCTCTCTCCCCAGGTCCTCTGTAGGCGCTCTCTTTTCCCCACCACTGCCTTGGGCGGCTCTATCTTTTAAGAGGTTGAGGGAGATGAGGATGGTCTTGCAGGGCCTGAGGTGAGGGGGATACAGATTTGCAAGGGGTCTGTCCATCTGGAGAGGACTTCTTGGATGAGGGTTTTTCCGGCAGGGGTCTGGGGTACGTTTGTGCTTCTGGATGCAGAGGGTGTCTGATGAGGCTGGGGAGAGTGGGACCCCTACCCATTCTCCCAACCCAGTTGGGGTGGAACCGTGGGCTGAATGAGCCCCTCCTGCTCCTGAAACATGGCACCCGGAAGATGAAATGCTGACTTACCATGTTGCTCTGTGTAACCTTGACCGGCCCTGGGCTTGGCAGAAAGGAGTGGAATGGGAGGCCTGAAAAATGCCAGGGGACAGGGCCAGAGGAAAGCAGCCCAGCCCCACCCTGCCAGGCCTCCCGTGCTGGTCAGGAAAGCTGGGTGTGTGTAGGAATGGGGTGAAAGGATGGTTTGACTGTCTATTGGCTGGGGCCAAAAGAGAACCCGGGCCATTCCCTGGAGGAGGGCTGGGGTGAGGATGAAGCTGTCTCGGGGGCTGGAAAGAAGAGTTGAGTCCCTTACCCACGTCACACAGTGCATGTAGCTCACCGCATGCTGGGCTCTTCAGGGAAGTGTCTGGGGGCTCCCTGGGTGACTTGGCTTGGGTAAGGGGTTGCTGCATCCCCAAAAGGGAGCCCAGGCCTGCAAGTCCGTCCCAAGCTCCCTGCCCCGCTTTGCTCTGTGCCAGGCCCTGCTCGCTCTTCTCACACCCGGCCCCGCTGCAGCCCCTGGGAGCACCCCACACCACTCCCACGTCATGGCCTTTGCACCCAGCTCCCTGGGTAGGACTGCCACTCCCGGTGAGTTCCGACTGCCTTGTGATGCCCAGCCGGCTGCCTCACCGCCCCCTATGCCCAGACTGGGTACAGGGTGGGGGTGCCTGGCACAGGCTGGCTGGGGGTGAGCCGCCCAGCGTTCCTGTCTGAGTGGTAATTGAAGCCATTAGCGCGCCAGCCTCTCCCTCGCCCGAGTAATGGCAGGAAAAGCTCTTCTCACAACGCACTCTTGAGGCTGAATCACTCCCCCTCCAACCCACCCGCTGCCGCCACTGAGACAGGGAATCTGACATTTTCTCTTGCGAGGGAGGGGGAGCAGGGAGGGGGTGCGGAGGGGGAGGGGAGGCAAGCCTTGCTTCTTGGCCTTTCCCTCCAGGAGGAGGGGAGTAGGAGGGTCTTGGAGCTCAGTCTGGAGGTTATGGATCTGCCTGGGCCAGTGGGTTCCTTGTCCCTTGTCCCTTCTTTGTTACACAAGGGTTCTGGCAATACAGTGGTCAGGAAGGCCCTGGAGAGGGCCAGAAAGCAGAGATGTGGGCAGGGCACTGGTGACTGGCGCAGGTTCTGGAAGGGCCAAGAAGGAGGAGGAGGAGGGAAAGGGGAGGAGGGAGGGAGGAGAGGGAAGGGAGGAGGAAGAAGGCCAAGGAGCAGGGATGAGCTGTTTCTGACTTTGTCCTGAGGGGCCTGACTCTGCGGGCTCCAAGTGCAAGAGGCAGCATTTGCCCTGTGGTCATGGGTACAGCAGAGTGCACCCTGTGTGTGGTGTGAGTGCCCTGCGTGCCGTCTGTAAGGCAGTATGTGCATGAGGTATGTGGTGTGGTGTTACAGCTTTACGGGCTGTGTGTGTCTTTCAGGTTGCAGAGGTGTGCGTCCAACTCTGTGTGTGCTCGTGTGTACGTGCATCAGGCAGTGTGTGTGTGGGGTGTGGTGTATACAGCAGGTGGTATAACTCATGCAGTGTGTACTTCAGACTGTGTTTATGTGAGGTGTGGCCTATACAGCAGGTGGTGTGCACCTTCTGGGCTGTGTGTACAGCCGGGTGGTGGAGAGAGGTGTGCAGCAAGCAGTCTGGGCTGAGTGTGTGCGGCCAGTCTGGTGCTGTGGGAGGCCAGAGACGCTGTCTCTGGGCTCACTGTCTCTAGGACCCATAGGATCTCTGCTCAGAGCTGTTGGTCAGCCAGGACAGCTGGACAGGGGTGAACGTGGGACAGAGTGGCCAGCCTGAGGTGTTCTCAGTGCCTCTGAGAACTGCACCGCAGCAGCTCCTCTGCAGCCCCGCCCAAAGGGAGGGGGCGCCAGGTAGGGATTCTGCCTGGCCCTTGGGACTCTGTCCTCTTCTCACCCTCTCACCACCAAGCCCAGGCTCCCTTTCCCCTGTTCCCACCTTGCCTTGGTGTCTGCTGACTGACTGGGACCAAACCACTTGGGACACTCAGGCCCAGGAATCCAGGTGCCCACATGGAGTGCCTGATCTTGCCTACTTTGTTCAGGGTAGGCTTGGGGGTGGGGGGCAGCTGTCAGGCATGTGGGGTAGTGGCTGGTATAGGGGGCAGTCAGTACTGGGCCTGGACCCTGGGTTCTACAGTACTTCTGACTCTGGCTGGCTCTGGGACCTGTGGGATGATGGCCCTCTTGAACCCCATCCACCCAGCCCCACACACGGCCCCTTTGGAAACAGCCCCAGGGACACGAGGGCTGATGAGCAGCCTATGACCCCGTCCTGCAGTCTCCTGCGCTGGCTGGACCTGGAGCAGTGCCAGCACAGGAGCTTATGTTTTCAGGGTGG